AAAAAAACTTAAGTTTTCATTATGTTCTTAGTCAAGCCCGTCTAAGGAGGGCTAGCACCTGGATGGGTGACCTCAAAATCGTACCTACTCAAGATTTTTTTTTTAATTTTATTTTACCTTTTGATTTGAAAATTACAGAATGAATATAGATGATGAAAAGAAGATAAAATGAAAAATTGCATAGGACAAGTGGCAGGGTCCCAGATCTTCATTTAATATCCTGGCAATCGCTAATTTATTTCATAAAATAACTGTTCTAAATCTCGCGTTCTGATTGGTTGAGGGCACGTGCTTTATGAGAGCACGCAGCACGCTCGCGTACTTTCATTTTCGTTATTCATGTAATTGGTATTTTATAAAAGAAATAAAAAACTTGTTTGCTGTGCTGTGTGGAGTTATAAAGCACTTGGGGCTTGGCAGATCACTCAAGAAGTGTCCACTTCTCTCGTGTTCTTCCAACCCCCGCGTGCTTTGTAACTGCACACAGCACGCGCGCTCGTTTTCTATTTCTTCATGCATGTTTCTAGTCTCCCCCACAGCCGCTTTCAGTGTCGTCACGCAACGCTTTCTCCCCGACACTGAAAGCGGCTGTGGGGGAGACTAGCATGTTTCACGCGTGCACGGCGCATGCAAGTTTAGTGCACTGAACGTTTTTTTTTTTCTTTTTTTCTTTTTTTCTTTTTTTCTTTTTTTCTTTTTCATTTCATTCCCCTTTCTATTTCCTTTATAACTTGGATGTTTAAAAAATACCTCTAAATGATAAGATGATTTTCATTTAAAATCCTTTAGTTTAAAACTTTTGCCTGACTTTGCACGCTTGTGATCTCATCCCACATGGTTAGGAGTAACAACAGGTGCTTACCCATTGGCGTACAGAAAATTCTTGAATTTGCTGTTCATGGCAAGTGAAGGATAGTGTCTCCTTCCCTATTTCTTTATCGTTTGTATATATTTTGTGACGTACTTTCCAAAGGAGGACTGGGCATGCATATCCCAAGATCCTTTGTTCTGTTTTCAAAATGGCGATTCCCTCGCCGATAAGTGATAACTTCAGTGCTAAACAGTGCATTAATTAATATAAATGTAGCCATCGATATGACTCGTGTTGCAGTGGTAAGTTTACTTCTTCTTTCTTCTTTTCGTAATAGGAGTGCGTGAAACAGAATATTCTCTTTGCATATTGAAAGTTCTGTTGCACGAATACCATCACGACTGATCAGCCGCTTGTCCTAAACTTCAGCTCCTTCTTAGGATTAAACGGATACAGTTAACGTAATTGAAAAGAAATAACAAAAGGCCCCAAGTTATACAATAGAACGAAGCTAGCAAAGAATACAATAGGTTTGCGGTACATGTAGAAAGACTTAATACTTATATTTTCGTTCAGCACAATGTACCTTTTCTTACAGGTTACTGGAGGAAATCGTGGAATTGGTTTTTGTATTGTTAAACAACTTAGCAAGCAGTTTGATGGTGTTATCATACTTACAGGTATTTTATCAAGCTTAGAAACACATATTTATTCAAGAAAAGATTTGTTTGTTATATCATCCAACATGGCCGCCTTGTCTTTTGTTATTTCATTCTCTTGGGAATGGCTGAAAATCAGCTGTTATGATATAACAAAAGAGACTAATGACGAAACTTTCGTTGAATTCATCCAACATAGGCCTTTTCTGAGTTCGATAAACAGGATGCATTGTGGTCTAGATTTGGTACAAACAACACCATATAAGGCATGATGTTTGTACCTAAGCTAGACCACAATGCACCATGTTCGCTATCTCAGAAAAGGTCTATGGCAGCTGTAAAAACCATCAATAATTTTACCACCGTTTGGAATTTTCTCTCTTTCCAATTGCTCTAGAGCCTGGGGAAATCGAATGACATACAGTACAGTTAAATTACATAAGCAAATCAAGTGCGCACTTGAAACCCACTTTTTCTTTCAAATTTTTTTCAAGTTAAATTTTTTGTGGTAAAAAAACAATTTCCTCCAGTTTTCCTTGCCAGTACGTCCTCTCATTTGCCACTTTTGTCGTCATCTAGCCATCAAAATATGTTGTGGACTTGAGACCACAACATTTATTTTTCACAGCTAGATGATTAAAATTTGGGTTTCTAGGTTCTTAGTGACACCAAGGTTTTTTTATCAATGTTGTCAACCCCCCCCTACATTCTGGAGATGGGGTGTATATATAGGAAGGGAGGGCTTTAGCCACATCCTGCCCTCACTTTTTCGCCAATATTCACAAAATTAAAAAAAAAAATGCTTTAATTCTCATTTTAGACCATTTGTGAATTCTTGAGAATGAGAATGTCACATGATCTGAAATGGGAACACAGGTTACATTCATTGCAATTAACATAAATGAAGTATTGAGCATTTACTGTTTTAATGTCAGTATTGATTGGCAGGGCTTAAGATAACGGCTTGTCAAATGCCAGATATAATGACTACCCAGCCAAATTAGATTTAAGTTATAGCTTGTTTCTGACTCAACATTACTTTTCAAACCAGCAAAGCAAAGTTTTTGGCAGACAAAAGTTGCAATTTTGACCAGACATTGTCACTGTTTTGTAAAACCTTAATTAATAGATAATATTACTTAAATTTGTGTATATATAGCCAGAGACGAAAAGCAGGGAGCAGATGCTTGTGCAAAGATAAAAGGGGATGGCACTGCGGATATAGAAAGCCACCAGTTAGATATCACTTCACAAGAAAACATTGCCCAATTAAAGGACCATGTGAAGGAAAAGTTTGGAGGATTAGATGTTCTTGTAAATAATGCTGCCATTCTTATTCCTGTAAGATATATAGCCTACATTTTTAACCTTATGATATATTACGATCTATGAAGAAGTGACAATATAGGGTCTATCTCTGTTGTGAATATAATTTATACAGCACATCTGACATCACAATACCATAAAACAATACCAGCTTTACAATATCTTTAGGATAAGTCAAAAAAAAAAAATTTCACTAAAGCAGTATATATTAAATATTACACCAGAGATTGGACATTGGGTCAACAGTCCTGGATAACAAGACATACTGAACAAAAGGGGTTCGTACTGAAGCTAGGCCACAGTGAATGGTGTTCACTATGAAGGCTGCATTGGGGGGGGAGGGAGTACCTGTACTCTACTGAATCTTGCAACTCCCTATGTGTCACAATTCTAGAATGTTATTGTGTCACTTATCAGAAGTTATCCCTAGCAGGGCCTCGATGTTGGTATTTCATTACGGCAGTCTGTCATTGGTAGCTAGTTCACAGCTCTCATGTCACCTTTTTAAAGACATGTTGCTTGTTGAAATTTACCCCTGAGGGCCTCACTATCTTAGAAAAGCTCTACTTTATTGCATCCCAGAGCAAGGATGCCTTACTTTGAATCCATGTTTCTTTGAAAATTTTTCACATGATTTTACCTTCCTTGTTTCACAGTATAAAATGAAAACACATGAAAAAATATATCCTCCCTTGTGGCTCTTATTTTGCTAGTTGTTAAATTCATAATTAAAATAATTCTACTATTTAYGACAATCGCATTTCCAGTCCATGCCATGCCTTGCTGTACCATCATTATGGTTGTTTCTTATAACCAGCTGTCCAGCTCCTTATTTTAGTTAAATATAGAAAGATACACTGTCATTGTTTCATTGTCATGTATTTTTTTTATTCAAGTCTTCCTCTGGAATATCCTATGCTTCAAATGCAGAGCTTTGTGTCAAAACCAATTTCTTTGGTACTCTTGATGTCTGTAAGGCTATGTTTCCTCTTTTGAGGGATCAAGCAAGGTAAACAAGAAACATTGTTGAGTAGATAGGGATTATTGCATGTTATGAGCTTGGTATCATTTTTATTCACAAGTTTCCATTTTGCAAACATCCAGCTGAGCGGTAAACGTGGCATGAGCTAAGCATGAGCCAGTGGACAAAATGACCGGTGGATGGATAGACGGATGGATATATGGATGGTGAGCCGGATGCAAAATCACAAGATTTATGGGAGATCACACAGTTTGAAACTGTTTTTATTCCTCATTTCCATATTTCTGCTTCTCGTAGGTACATATTATATTTAGTAAAAAGAACAGAAAAATATAGTAAAAAAAAATAAAAACATAGCCAGTGGCAAAATACCTAAACACACTGTGATTGGCTGAAACAAAATTTACTGCACAGCTTGAAGTGAGTCAATGAGCAAGTGAGAGATATGATATCAGGGTAACAATATAGCTAAACAGTATAGGGTAACAAGTGAATGAAAAAGATATCAGGCTCTTAAAATGTAATCATTTGTTTATTACACATTTAGGGTCGATACAATAACCAAACCCTCATATTTTCCAGTTTTATCTTTAAGTGATATAGTATCACTTCACTGATATGGATTTTATTCACAGCTATATCAATGATATCAAACTTAAATGTGTAATAAATGCATGTATTTTATGGATAAGCAATTTGGTTAATGTCTTTGTGTCTCATTCCTCATTTTCATTTTACAGGGTTGTTAATGTTTCATCTCTCATGGGTTCTTTGAAGATTGTGGACCCATCATTACAGAAGAAGTTTAATTCACCAAAACTAACTGTAAATGAGTGTGTCGCACTGATGAACAAATATGTCAGGTTAGGAAAACCAACAATGTCATTAAAAACAGATGCCACAGAGGGGGTGGGGCAGGGGGGCTACAGCCTCTCGATTTTTTCACTTTCCCCATACTAGTCTCTTATATTTTCCAATCTTACCCCCCTCCTTTTTTAGGGTGCTCTGTGGCCCCTGGAAGAATTGATAGAAAACATCAATATATATGTTATAAAAAATATTTTAATTAGCTGATACCAAAAAAGAGCAAGCTACACCATTTTGAGTAGTCTGCATGCAATCAAACTTAACTGTAATCATGCAAGTATTAATATTTTTAAAAAGTCTCAAATTTACACAACTTTTCATTTCTAAAATTTCTATTCTTTTTTCTTAATTTGTAGTGATGTTAAAGCTGGAAAAGCTAAAGAAAATGGATGGCCAGATGAAAACTCAGTGCAAAGTCCAGGTTTATACATTTTCTATATAGTGTTTTACTCCATTTTTTCTCAAAGGCTCTGGATTCCCCTGAGTACGAATATCCTGCAATATTGTATTTAATAATATAAGATACGATACAGACAATAATTCACAACGTTTCAAGCCCGGGGGGGGGGGGGGG